CCCTCTGCTCACTCTCTCCCCCTCTGCTCACTCTCTCCCCCTCTGCTCACTCTCTCCCCCTCTGCTCACTCTCTCCCCCTCTGCTCACTCTCTCCCCCTCTGCTCACTCTCTCCCCCTCTGCTCACTCTCTCCCCCTCTGCTCACTCTCTCCCCCTCTGCTCACTCTCTCCCCCTCTGCTCACTCTCTCCCCCTCTGCTCACTCTCTCCCCCTCTGCTCACTCTCTCCCCCTCTGCTCACTCTCTCCCCCTCTGCTCACTCTCTCCCCCTCTGCTCACTCTCTCTCCCCCTGCTCACTCTCTTTCCCCCTGGACTCACTTATCTTTCCCCCCTGTTTACTCTCTATTCCCCTTCGTTCAACCCTTTCTCCCCACAATCCCTCTCACCACCCCTGTTCACACCCCTTGTTCCCCTCTGCTCACTGGCTTTCCCCTTTGCTCACCCCCTTCTCCTGCCTGCTGACTATATTTCCCCCTTTGCTCACCCCCTTCTCCTCTCTGCCCACTCTATTTCCCCCTTCGCTCACCCCTCTGCCCTGTTCACACCTCCCATACATGCCCTTCTGTACCTCCAACCTCCAGCCCTCGCTTATTCGCCATATCCCCTCTTCCCTCCCCATTCCATCGCAGAACCATGCTTGTACATGTGCCCAGCACCATGGGTCCCAACAGGAGTGGGTTGAAAAGTTTTCACCTCTAAGATTTGTGCTTGTGCCTATAGTCCACCCTTGGCAACCTTTATGGAAACGTAATTTGCTTTGTTGCACTTGCGGTGGTCATGTGCATTTATGCTCCGAATCACATAGTGGTGTATTATGAGAAGCATCCAACATCAGTATATGACGTAGCTAACAGCAAACACAACACAACAGGATGTATAGCAGACCTGCACAAACACGAACTACAACTCTGATGTGTCAAAGTTGGAAGCAGCGGGGTTGGATATGAAACGACGACAATGGAAAGGCAAGAAGGCAGGGAACCATCCATGCACGGAGAACATGAGCTAGGGAGACACGGAGGAAGGGAAGAAAGGGGGGTGATATGAAGCGTGGGTGGAAAGGGGGGAGAGAGCGGGGAAAGGAACTGAGGCAGAGGATTGGGGGAGAGAAATAGATGAAGGAAGGGAGGGGAAGTAGGAGGGGACGATATTGGGTGGGAGGAAGGGAGGATGAAAGGGAGGAAGGGAGGATGCCGGGCGGATGAGAGAAAGGGTGGATGAGAGGACATGGGGATGAGAGGACATGGGGATGAGAGGACATGGGGATGAGAGGACATGGGGATGAGAGGACATGGGGATGAGAGGACATGGGGATGAGAGGACATGGGGATGAGAGGACATGGGGATGAGAGGAAGGGCGGATGGGAGAAAGCGAAGGGGGAAAGAGGGAGAAAGAGAGGGACGAAGGAGGGAGGAAAGAGTGTGACCGGGTACAATGGGGAAGGTAAAAGGGTGAAACTGACACGCAGGGTTGGAGTGAGGAAGAGAGTAGGAGAGCGGGAGATGGAAAGAGGAAGAGGTCTGGATCGAGGGGGGATGAAAGAAATGTGAGAATGGTAGGAAGGGAGAACGGAAGGAAGGGAGGGAGGGAGGACGGGCGACAGAGAGGGGAAAGAGGGTAGTGAGGCAGAGAGTGTGGGAGAGATGGAGGAAGGGAGGAAGAGAGAGGGAGAGGACGACGACTGGGGGAACGAAGGAACGGAGTAAGGGAGGAGGGTAAGTGGTAAAAGTGCGGCAAGGTATAAGGGTGGAACGGGGGATAGGAGGATCCCTGCACCCTCTCTCTCTACCCCCCGCCTCCCCCGCTCCCCTGCCCCGCCTCCCCCGCAACCCTGCCCCGCCTCCCCCGCTCCCCTGCCCTGCCTCCCCCGCTCCCTTGCCCCGCCTCCCCCGCTCCCCTGCCCCGCCTCCCCCGCTCCCCTGCCCCGCCTCCCCCACTCCCCTGCCCAGCCTCCCCCGCTCCCCTGCCCAGCCTCCCCCGCTCCCTTGCCCCGCCTCCCCCCGCTCCCCTGCCCCGCCCCCTGCAGCATTGCGCTCCTTGCTGCCCGCCTGCACGCGCTGCCCCAGCTGTGCGCCCAGCACTCTGCTCCAAAGCCGCAGCAGCACCTGCCATGCGTGCGGAGAAGAGGGGGAACGTGATAGGCAGGGGAGTGATGGCGACGTGGAGAGAGGCGCGAGGGAAGGGAGGTCGGCGGTAAGGGAAATTTCCAGGCGACAGGGAGGGCGATGGGAGGGGAAGCGCGGGCGACGGTGGGGGAAAGCGTGGGCGACGGTGGGGGGAAGTGTGGGCGGCGGTGGGAGAAATCGTGGGCGGCGGTGGGAGAAATCGTGGGCGACGGTGGGAGAGATCGTGGGCGATGAGCGGCGATGCGTGAAGGTGGGGGAAGGCGCTCGCGACGGTAGGGGGAAGCTTGGGTGAAGGCAGGAGGAAGCGTGAGCGGCGGTAAGGGGAAGCGTGAGCGACGGTGGGGGAAAGCGTGAGCGACGATGAGGGAAAGCGTGGGCGTGTGCGTGGGGGGTATGCAAGAGACGGTTGGGGGAAGCGCGGGGGACGCGGAAGACGATAGGGCCAAATGCGATATTTGCGGAAGGGCGATGCCAGTGCGTCCGAGTGCGGAAACGTGATTTGGCCTCGCGTTGCTGTCATGCCGATAAGCTACGACCAGAAAAGTAGTCGAGGTCTCAATATCGGCCGTAGGATAGATTCGTCTGGAGTTCTAAGCCGTATGATGGCTAAGAATAAAGGCGGAAGTGCTCATGGGCTATGCTTTAGTGGCTTCTTTTTCTCTCTTCGCATGAGGAACTCGCATCCTATGGACAAAAGCACGACCTGAATTACCATTTTTGCAAACTGGGCACATTTTGAGCCCTTGTTCTTGCGGGGGGGTGTGGTTGGGGCTCTCGCCAACCAAACCTCTTCTGCTCCACGACTCAGTGTTTTTTGGCGGGATGTTTTCTGGTAACCAGCTTGGCTCGGGAGGTCAACTCTGGGTTCGGTAGGCAAACTGTGCACAGTTTGCCTACTCCTTTTTGTAATTCAGGTCTTGGGCTTTAATTCGATAAGCATGCTTAGACACTGAGCATCGGCATGGCATTACCAGTCGTGTAGCAGCGCCAATCGCTTAACGTCGCCAGTCACTTGGCATAGTTCTGCCGTGGTCGCAATCTTGTCGCCTGAACGACAACAATAAAACGACCTGCCTCATATGTGAAAGGAGCCAACAATGGTGAGTGTACGAGATTCTCGAGCGTGCCACGGCTGAATTGTCATTTGAATATACGTCCAAACGGAAGACTCACTTGCACCCAGTATCGTAAGTGGAAAAGGAAATATTTTTTTTTAATCGAAGGCTAATCGTTTTCAGTGTGATGCGAAGGCGACTGTCGGAACTTTTCAAATGATAAGCGTTTTCGTCGTGTTGAGAGAGCTATATTTGACAACGGTATTTTTTGGGGCCGACGCGGGTGGTAATAAGAAGGGGAAACTACAGCCGAGAGAATTAGTATCAGTATCTGTCATTTCTGCCGGAACAGGTTTGACTTATACCCTGCTTCCGAACAACCGTTACGGCGTGAAATGCCTAGATGGCAGGTACGACGAGTATCGTTGTACAGTGCGTTGTCTTGATTTCATTCTCCAACCCTCCACGTAGCTCGATTTCATTCACACCCTCTATCCCAATGGCAACCAACGAGAACAAAAAAGTGACACTTTTTTTTTCCATTTCATTTTTCTTCCCGTAAGGACTCCCGTTGTCCCATCCATTTAGTTTTTCCCTGGTGCCTCTTCTTCTTCATCCTGTAACTTCCTCCCTCCACTTTTGCGGTGCCCCGGCTGATTGCATGTGAAGCAGCACACTTTAAAGCTCCGGTATACATTTGACAGAAGGGGTTCAAGTTCCTTAGGAACTTGAAAAGTTGCCCCAGAACTGGGAGGCTCAGTTATAAACCCTAAACCCCCACTGACAAATGTATACTGCCGCTTTAAAATAGTGTGGAAGCGAGAGCGGCATTCGCGATGACGACGCATATCGTAGCACTCTCGTTCTACCCATGAGGCCAGTTGTTGTAGGACCCAATTCTTGGTCGACGGAAGAAATCCAATTTTTCTGCCATGGCGAGGATGCCTTTAAAGCGACGGTGCACATTTGCCACCCAAAACCCAGAACCCTGGCGAACTGTTACTGCAGATGAAAAGTGTCTGCACGAAATCCTGGTTTTCGCCAGCCAACACTTTCGCGCTGGCAAGCCTGGTTCAAAAAAAAAACTTCTGAACCCAACACTGCCAAAAGTTGCCCGTCGCTTTAAAGCGGCGGTATACATTTGGTTTTACTGTTTGTTTGGTACAGTGTCCACCCCTTCATTTCGCCGAAACGAAAAAAACGAGGGGAGCGAGAATGTTGGCGAAAACCTGAGTCGTTTTTGTACGAATGAACAAGGGTTGGGTTGGCTGTGTCACAAATGTTGAGATGCCCCCGTCACCTCTCTCACCTGCCACTCTCACACACAAGTCCCAATAAGCCGCTAATAACTACACCAGAGAAAAGAAACCAGGGCGCACGCTGGAGGGTGCTACGCCTCTGCGACCACACTCGAAGTCGCGTGTGAGTAATGAGTGGCGTCGGTTATTAGCTTAGGGCAGGAAACGACCAGCAAAATCGTACGTAGCGTCAGCTTGTACAGCAACTGTCTCGCGCTCGCCTGTAGCAACGCACGCACGCCTGCATTCAAAACGAGCCAGCACAGCGTGCTTCAGCGAGGCGCGGGGAGCAGAGCAACGCGCGCCAGCAAAACGCGCGCAGCAAAACGCGTGTTGCAAAACGCGCGCAGCAAGGGGCCACAAAATATGCATAGCGCGCGTGAGAGCACAGCGCGTATGAGGACAGGCACACGCGCCTCGCGTTCGCCAAGCTGTTGAGCCGGCGTCGCGCGCGCGAGGAGGGTCACACGCGCCGTATCGTTTTGCCCCCACGCACTCGCACCGGAGCATAACACGAAGCATGCCCCTTTTCGCATTCTCCCACACCCATTCCCATCACCGCATTCCCCCTTCCCCATTCCGACCTCTCGGTCCCGCATTCCCCCATCCGCATCCGCCTTCCCCCTTCCCCATTCCCCCAACCGCATTCCCCCTTCCCCATTTCCCCATCCAAATTCTCCCTTCCGCCTTCCCCCATCCGCATTCCCCCTTCCGCATACCCCCATCCCCATTCCCCCTTCCGCGTTCCCCCTTCCGCTTTCCCCCTTCCGCGTTCCCCCTTCCGTATTCCCCCTACCGCATTCCCCCATCCGCATTCCCCCTTCCCCATCCCCCCTTCCGAATTCTCCCTTTCGCATTCCCCCACCCGCATTCCCTCCATCCGCATTCCCCCTTCCGCGTTCCCCCTTCCGCATACCCCCTTTCGCATTCCCCCTTCCCCTTTCCCCCTTCCGCATTCCCCCTTCCCCTTTCCCCCTTCCGCATTCCCCCTTCCGCCTTCCCCCTTCTGCGACGCCCCCCCACGCGTTCCCTCGCAAGCGTTCCCCCTTCCGTATTCCCCCTTCAGCGTTCCCCCCTCCGTATTCCCCCTACCGCATTCCCCCATCCGCATTCCCCCTTCCCCATCCCCCCTTCCGCCTTCCCCCATCCGCATTCCCCCTTCCGCATTCCCCCCATCCGCATTCCCCCTTCCGCGTTCCCCCTTCCGCTTTCCCCCTTCCGCGTTCCCCCTTCCGTATTCTCCCTACCGCATTACCCCATCCGCATTCCCCCTTCCGCATTCCCCCTTCCGCCTTCCCCCTTCCGCGACGCCCCCCCACGCGTTCCCTCGCAAGCGTTCCCCCTTCCGTATTCCCCCTTCCGCGTTCCCCCTTCCATATGCGCCCTTCCGCGTTCCCCCATCCGCATCCCCCCTACCGCATCCCCCCTTCCGCATTCCCTCTTCGGCATTCCCCCTTCCGCCTTCCCCCTTCCGCCTTCCCCCTTCCCCGTTCCCCCTTCCGCCTTCCCCGTTCCGCGTTTCCCCTTCCTCATTCCCCCTTCCTCATTCCCCCTTCCGCATTCCCCCTTCCCCATCCCCCCTTGCGCATCCCTCGTTCACCCTTCCGCATTCCCCCTTCCTCATTCACCCCTCCTCATTCCCCCTTCCGCATTCCCCCTCCTGCATTCCCCCATTTTCCCCCCCATGCCTCATAGGGCCCCCCATTCCATCCCCATGTTCCCCCCCTTTAGGCCCCATGTTTCCCCCCTGCATGTGAAATGTTTCCCCCTGCAGCCCCCCTGTTTCCCCCGAGCGCACACGTGCATATTCCCCCCATGCTATCCCAACCATTTCCCAATATTAGCCCCATGTTTCACACTGCAGGCCCCACGTTTTACCCTTGCAGGCCCCATGTTTCCCCCCTGAAGGCCCCTTGTTCCCCCCATACCAGACCCATTTCTCCCCCCTGATAGCCCCATATTCCCCCCGTGAGTGGCCCCATGTTTCCCCCATGCTAGCCTCATGTTGCCAAGGCTGGGTGGTGAGTGCATCGCTGCTCACAGCAGCATGTGGAGTGCTCACCAGCATAGGAACCACTCAGCCTGCATACTCTGACTCACCTTCGCTTGTCACATCCTCTTTTCCCACCCTACCCTTCCCTTCCAAAACGCCAAGGTGAGTGCATCGCTGCTCACAGCAACGAGTGTAGTGCTCACCAGCATGGGAACCTCCCTTCCAAAAAACCCTAACTCACCTTCGCCACTTACATCCTCTTTTCCCTACCTCCCCTTCCCTTCCAAGGTTGGGTGGTGAGTGCATCGCTGCTCACAGCAGCGTGTGGAGTGTTCACCAGCATGGGAAGCTCACAGCTCGCACACTCTTGCTCGCCTTCCCTCGTCACATCCTCTTTTCCCTCCGTCCCCCTCCCTTCCCAGATGGGCGGTGAGTGCATCGCTACACATCTTAGCGTGTGGAGCGCTCTCAGCTGGCTGGCTTGCCAACTGGGGCGTCCTGGTGGGTGCATTGCACGTTGCACGGGTGACTTCACCAGTTTACTCAAAAGTCGCCTGCTGGGTGCCTTGCTGTGCATGCCCTCCGCATGTGTCAACCCAGAAACGACCTTCCATAGTGCACGCCGCACTCCTCACTTCCATGACTAGATGCTCGCCCCGTATTCCCCACCATGCTAGCCTCATGTTTACCCCCAAGCTTTGCTCCCATGATTCCCGCAAAATATCACCACGATTCCCCCACACTATCCCCATGATTCCCCCTGCAGGCCCATTGTTTCCCCCATGCAGGCCCATTGTTTCCCCCATGCAGGCCCATTGTTTCCCCCATGCAGGCCCATTGTTTCCCCCATGCAGGCCCATTGTTTCCCCCATGCAGGCCCATTGTTTCCCCCATGCAGGCCCACTGTTCCCCCATGCAGGCCCACTGTTTCCCCCATGCATGCCCATTGTTTCCCCCATGCACGCCCATTGTTTCCCCCATGCTATGCCCATTGTTTCCCCCATGCATGCCCATAGTTCCCCCTGCAGGCCCCCTGTTTCCCCCATGCAGGCCCATTGTTTCCCCCATGCATGCCCATTGCTTCCCCCATGCAGGCCCATTGTTTCCCCCATGCAGGCCCATTGTTTCCCCCCCATGCATGCCCATTGTTTCCCCCATGCTGGCCCAATGTTTCCCCCTGCATGCCCCCTGTTCCCCCCATGCAGGCCCCTGCACACCCCACGTTTCCCCCAAGCCAGACCCATTTCATCCCCCTGATAGCCCCATATTCTCCCCGTGATAGTCGGTTGTTTCATCGCTTCCAGCCCCATGTGTCCCCCCACGTTAGGCACAGGTTCTCACAATGTGCTGGCCCCATGTTTAGAAGGCTGGGTGGTTGGTCAGTGCATCGCTGCTCCCAGCAGCGTGATGGGAAGCTCAGCAACAAAGGAACCTCACAGCCCTCACGCTCTTACTCGTCTTCCCTTGTCACATCCTCTCGTCCTTTCCCTCCCTCAGCCTTCCCCCGGCTGGGTGGTTAGGGCATCGCTGCTCCTAGCAATGTGTGAAGGCGCTCTGCAACTAAGGAGCCTCACAGCCCTCACACTCTAACTCGCATTCCCTTGTAACATCCTCGCTTCCCTCTCTCCCCTCAGCCTTCCCAGGCTGGATGGTCAGTGCATGAAAGCTCCCAGCACTGTGGAAAGCGCTCAGCAACAAAGGACCCTCACAGCCCTCACAGGATGGCTGTTTCCTCCCATGGTATCCCCATTTTCCTCCCATGGTATCCCCATTTTCCTCCCATGGTATCCCCATGTTTCCTCCCATGGTATCCCCCTATTTCCTCCCATGGTATCCCCCTATTTCCTCCCATGGTAACCCCTTTTTAGGCCCATGCTTGGGCCATGTTTCCCCCATGCTAGCCCCATGTTTCCCCCATGCTAGCCCCATATTTCCCCCATGCTATGTTTCCCCCCTACTGCTGCCCCCATGTTTCCCTCGTGCTATGTTTTCCCACAACTGCTGTCCCCATGTTTCCCCCATGCTATGTTTCCCTACAACTGCTGGCCCCATGTTTCCCCCGTGCTATGTTTCCCCACAACTGCAGGCTAGCTTGCACACAAACCCCTAAGGCACAAATCCCTCACACAAGGAGCTACGTCCGCCAAGGCAAAGTGGACAAAGCCTACAATTTTGCACGAGGTGAGACAGCGGCATTCCTCCCTACCCTGCCCTGCCATTTCACCCCTGCCCTTCCCCTTCTGCCCTGCTACTCCCCCGCCACCTTTCACTACCTGCTACGCTCCTCCTTCAGTCCAACTCCAAACCTGCCCTGCCTTTCCCCCCATTGCCCTTGCATCCTTCCCTACCCTGCCCTCCCTTCCCCCAACTCTTGCCATAAGGTACCCCCATGCTAGCCCTCAGTTCCTTGCCCACCCTTCCCCCTTATCATGCCATAAGTTGCCCCCTTGATAGCCCTCCCTTCCTGCTCATTGCCATGAGATGCTACCCTACTAGCCCTCCATTCCTCGTCATCATGCCATCAGTATACCCCCTGCTAGGCCTCCTTATTCGGTTGCTAATAATCAGTTTGGGTGCATGGTGTGCAGAATGGGCCGTCCGAGAAAGATTACCTCCGTAACATGGAAATCAAGGGTAAAAGAGATTGTAACGGGCAAGGACCAAGCAAGCCTCGCGATATCAAAGACGATGCAAATTCCAATTTGCTACTTGCGGTGTGGTTTGAGCTCGCTGATGGGTGAGGGTCGAACCGCGACAGTGTCCGACTTGGTGTACTTCCTTTTGCACGCTGGGTCAGGTGCAAAAGATGCTCTCATGATGGCAGCAAAAAAAGCTGGTGAGTGGAGTATTTCAAGGCCCCATGGTATTTTAGAGTTTGAGTGATTGAACCCCAACCCTTGTCTTTACTAGGGGAACGCATGTTGCCAACACTCTGACGTCGAAAACCACGATTGGACAGGTGCGGACGGTGAAGAGGCACAAGGGAGAGTGGAAGAGTATTTGGCGAGGTTCTCTGAAAATTTTCAAGGAGGACGGGATCGTGCAGCTGGTCGACCAGAAGCATTGATGGAAGGGCAACCTATCGCAATAGGAGGACTGGTTTACGCGTTCCCTGCTCTTCAGGGGAAACGTCCAGCGCGCACAGGGGGCGGGGCGACGGTTGATGGAGGGACGGGTGTGGACAATGATTCGCCAGATGCAAATCAGCCCCAGAATGGTATGAGTGCGCCTTATAATATAGCAAGCTGTGACGTGCGCATGTGGGAGTGCCTCCAATAACACAAATCTATCGATAATGTCAACTGTGATTCCAACAGATGGCCCGAATGAAGTCTCAGCATCACTGAATTTTGGCGACGTCGTTGGTGAGGGGTGCAGCGAGCAGCGGGAGGTGGTGATTGACATAGATCCGCATGTCTCTCCTCAAGGAGGCGATGTCACTGTGACGGTGGATTCTGAATGTGGAGGCCCGAGTGGATTGCCGGCAGGTGTCACACATGTGGATACGACAGACAATGCCAATCCACACAGCCATGCGGGGTAAGATTTTGTACGGTCTTGTAGGATCTTATTATTGCACTCCAGGTCCCCAATTATCGAGCCTACTTTATCAATGTTCCGCGAGCAACTAACTGTACTAGTCTCCTATTTCGTGACCACAACTACACGTTCATCTATTATGCCATCAATCCGGTCGTGCACGTTTGTCTTCCTTTGTTTTTTGCATGGCAACATTCCATCGATGCAGAAGCGTACACGCACACTCTTACTCCGAGCACAGAGTCGGACGCTGGCCTCCTCAACCAACCCTCACTGGGCTTCGCGATGTCGTATGCTTGCTGAATCCGATCCACCTCATTTGGTTTTTTATGGTCATGACTCTTCATTGCACTGCGAGTGGAGGTTGTGGTGGATCCATGAAGCTGCGCTCTTGGAAGCTGGTGTGGGCTGTTCTCGGGCTGGTGTGGACCTGCGATAGGTGTGGAAAGTCCGTTTCAATCTGGTCTGTCGATCGCAAGCCACCACCGAGCGCTGCAGACAAGCCTGGCCGGAAAAGTTTGCCGATGCTGCAACGGTTCCTCGCGTCTTTCGCACTCGCAGGTTTCGGTTTCCAAGCTCTGTCGGAGGTAGGCAGGAACTTGGGTGTGCCAATCCCGTGTAAGAGAACGTTCTACAAGTACATGAGTGGGGCGGGTGGCCTGTGGGAAAAGATCGTTGCTCATGCTACGAGGTGTATGGAAAAGGCGCGTGAGTGCATGCTAGCTCGTAAGGAGAGCGGTTATTGGATTTGCGTGGATGGCAGGTGGGGTCAGGTACGAGAGGCCGAGTGGTGCAGCGCCACATTTATGGATCCTTTCACGCGTAGGATTATACACTGTGTGACACTACCCAAGTCCGAAGAAGGTGTGACGTCGACACAACTTGAGGGAAGGGCTTTTGAAAGGGGGTTGGAAGATTTCAAAAAGTGGGGGTTTCCAGTGAAAAGTATCATTACTGACGAGGGGACGAGTTTCAAGGTTGGTATTCTTGGTACAGACATTGAGCATCAGATGGACGTATGGTACAAAGGTCGTTCGTTGTCACGCAAGTTTGTGAAGTTTTTCGTGGATGCTCGAAAGGACACGATCAGTGCCATTGAGGGAAAGACCATTGAAGATTGGTGGAATGTCAAGCCGGATGATATGCGTGCCTGGTTGAAAGTTCATGGAGGTTCCGGTCTCAAAGGTATAAACAAGAAAACGCCCAGAATAAAACTCATAAAGGAAGTGTGTCGTGTGCTTGGTATCCAGTACGTGGATTTGTCAAAGGATGATTCGCCTTGGAAGTACCCTGAGATGCGACGAGTTGCTCGTATACGTCGCAGACACGGCAAAGGCATGGCGGGCACATTATCAGCCTCTCGCACCTCTTGTCCCGACGGGTCTTGCACAGAGGGCGGGGAGAGGGTGGATAGTGTTGACGTTCCGATCATTCAGTCAAATGAAGAGAGCAGAGACAAGTATGATGCGACGACAGAGAGTTTCCTCACGCGTGAGAGCTGTTCCGATTTTGTCGCTATTGACATTTTGGAGGAGGGAGCCACAGAGACTGCAGTTGATCCCGGTCAGATAGATCTGCATTATTCGGATGTTAGAGAGCCGTGGGGATACGACCCACATCCCGAGCATGGAGTGCGGCCTTGCTCGGTGGCATCTTTCTTCATCATGCAGGCATCTGCGGCGCGTCACGCCGACGCAACTCGTGGCATGGTGGCCGCCGAACCGAGGCACAGATCCGCTGCTGATGAGACCGGTGAGATGTCTCACGTTGCAATGGTGTCTGCAATGCATATGATCCATTAGCACATTTGCACGTGAGTCCCCTAATTGCGATTTTGAAAAAATGACTCACTTGTAATATGGTGCCCCCCCACCAGGTACAAATGGGGCAAGTGGAGCTGTTGGAGCAGACGGGGATCGAGGGAACGCGGAGAACACTCGACGCAGGGTGGATAGGCGCTCCCGTGGCGGGAAGAGGAGTGGGGCGGGCACTGCAGTGCAAGAGGAGGTTATGGAAAATCCGGATGAGCTGATCGAGGAGGTGACAGTGGCGCAAAGTATTAGTGTACACTTTCATCATGTGATGGCATGATGCGCATTACGTTGGAAACAGGGAGTGCCAATGACTGCTAAGGATGTGGCCAATGAGATTGGGAGTGCAGCTGATCACTGGGCTGGGGACCATTCTCGCTCTGGTGGGGGCACAGAGACTCCTAGATGCGTGACTGATAACTGGGGAGCAGAGAGTGTACTGTACCAACATGGTTCTCGTACACATATCGCATTCAAGGAGTGGATAGAGGAAAACTGTGGGGAGGACGAGATGAGACCATATGTTCATGGGTCTTGCAATTGGATGAATGAATCATTTCATTCACTGATATGCAAGTATGCTCCGAAACGCACACTGTTTCGTGGAAGCATTAGGGCACGGATTGGTCTTACCGTGTTGCATTGGAACCATTCATTGGATAGGGAGGTTCGCGCTACCAAAATCAGGATGAGTCGTGTTACCCGGGTGCGGCGTGGTAAGAGCTCGCGGATCTTAGGGCCTATGAACTGGGGTTGGGTCGACGACATAATGCGAGAGTGGAATTGCATGACGCCTGCTTCTCCAGCGGACCTTGGGCCTGACACCGCTACCCCCACTGCACCGGCAACACCCGAGCCCCCTCCGAAGCGGAGGCGTACCAATGAAGGACAACCCTCCACATCCTCGCGATCCTTGCTTGGTAAGTCAATGCTGGTACATTTCGTCAATATTGGATTGGACCACCCGCAACTCTTTCTAATAATATACATGCGCATGTATACTCGCTGATTGCAGGACCTTTGACAAATGTGCGATGACGTCAAGACGAACGAATCATTCGAAGGCTGCCATCCGTGTGTGAGTTTGTTTGCTCAAAGTGTGTGTGATGCTTACAAACTTCGGTATGCAATGTCACTAAAATCTCGTGTATGGTCAACCCTCTGCTGGTATGTTCTTCCCACTTGCAAAGGAGGCAGCTACTCTGCCTGTGCACGTACCCTCCTCCCTCCGTCGTGCTCATCTAGCCGTCAGTCAACCACATCCCGCCCTCCCCCATCCTAACGCAACCCACACCATCACGCTCCACCCCACTCCACCCCATCCCACCCCGTCGTATCATCAGGTACGAGGCGTTCCAGCCGGTGGCAGGAGGGGAGGTGGCGGTGGAGGTGGAGATACCAGACGGCGAATGGGAGGTGTGGCTCAATGCGCCCTCGGGGGGCATCAGGGGCGCTGTGCTCTCGCCCCCTCCTGGCACGCGCCACCTCTCTGTGATTGGCTCCGCCAGGACGGTGGAGCTGGTGGCATGGGGGGTCTCTGCGTGTGGCGATGGTGTGGATGCCAAATGGTCAAATAGTTGCTCACTTTCCGACCAGGCGTTGGAACACGTGAAACTATAGGCAAGTGTAACTCTGTGACGGGTGTGGTCAGTGAGTTGGCGGGTGGTCAGTGAGTTGGCGGGTGGTCAGTGAGTTGGCGGGTGGTCAGTGAGTTGGCGGGTGGTCAGTGAGTTGGCGGGTGGTCAGTGAGTTGGCGGGTGGTCAGTGAGTTGGCGGGTGGTCAGTGAGTTGGCGGGTGGTCAGTGAGTTGGCGGGTGGTCAGTGAGTTGGCGGGTGGTCAGTGAGTTGGCGGGTGGTCAGTGAGTTGGCGGGTGGTCAGTGAGTTGGCGGGTGGTCAGTGAGTTGGCGGGTGGTCAGTGAGTTGGCGGGTGGTCAGTGAGTTGGCGGGTGGTCAGTGAGTTGGCGGGTGGTCAGTGAGTTGGCGGGTGGTCAGTGAGTTGGCGGGTGGTCAGTGAGTTGGCGGGTGGTCAGTGAGTTGGCGGGTGGTCAGTGAGTTGGCGGGTGGTCAGTGAGTTGGCGGGTGGTCAGTGAGTTGGCGGGTGGTCAGTGAGTTGGCGGGTGGTCAGTGAGTTGGCGGGTGGTCAGTGAGTTGGCGGGTGGTCAGTGAGTTGGCGGGTGGTCAGTGAGTTGGCGGGTGGTCAGTGAGTTGGCGGGTGGTCAGTGAGTTGGCGGGTGGTCAGTGAGTTGGCGGGTGGTCAGTGAGTTGGCGGGTGGTCAGTGAGTTGGCGGGTGGTCAGTGAGTTGGCGGGTGGTCAGTGAGTTGGCGGGTGGTCAGTGAGTTGGCGGGTGGTCAGTGAGTTGGCGGGTGGTCAGTGAGTTGGCGGGTGGTCAGTGAGTTGGCGGGTGGTCAGTGAGTTGGCGGGTGGTCAGTGAGTTGGCGGGTGGTCAGTGAGTTGGCGGGTGGTCAGTGAGTTGGCGGGTGGTCAGTGAGTTGGCGGGTGGTCAGTGAGTTGGCGGGTGGTCAGTGAGTTGGCGGGTGGTCAGTGAGTTGGCGGGTGGTCAGTGAGTTGGCGGGTGGTCAGTGAGTTGGCGGGTGGTCAGTGAGTTGGCGGGTGGTCAGTGAGTTGGCGGGTGGTCAGTGAGTTGGCGGGTGGTCAGTGAGTTGGCGGGTGGTCAGTGAGTTGGCGGGTGGTCAGTGAGTTGGCGGGTGGTCAGTGAGTTGGCGGGTGGTCAGTGAGGGGAGTTGTGAGTGTGTTCGAAGTCGCGTGTGATCCGTGAGTGGAGGGGGTGATTGATAGTAGCATTGTGACACATGGTGCACGCAGCTTGCTTCCATACTTGGTTGACCCATACACAGCCCCACCCTGCTTCTCCATCCTCACACCCATTCTTCCCCCCACCCTTTTCTACTGTTCCCCCCCCCCCTTCCCTCTCCTCCACCCCCCACCAAAATGGGGGCGAGCCACCTGGTGTGTTCGCAAACAGCAAGTTGTTTGATCATCCGGGCACCATCTACTACGAGGATGGCGCTCTGCCAGGAGACTCCTCCTCGCCTTCCTTCTCCTCTTCACCCATTTCCACCTACTCTGCTAGTGTTCTCACTGTGCTGCATGTGAGGGCAGGATCTGAGTACGCTGGTGAGAGACCGTATGCCATGCCATGCTTTTTGCCGTGGTGCTTGCTAGCCATTCTTGTCTTCCATGTGGGGATGTTTTTCTCCGATTTCCTTTTGTCCATCACCCTCATTGCATTCCCTTGTGGTGCATGTTGTACACAGGTGACCTCATGGCCATTGGTTTCCATCATCAGCCAGCAGCCATGGCCATGCTTGGCGCACAACATTGCTCGCCTGGTGCTGGAGGTGGTGTACCTGGAGGTGGGGCTGCTGAGGAACGTGTGTGGCGAGCTGCCGGAGATGGGGGACCATGCTGCCATGAGCGGCTCTGCAATGAGTTACTTTGGCGGGGCGTGGGACAGGGTAGACTTGCTCTCACTCTCCCTGCAAGCACCCACCGTTGTCATCTGGTGAGGGAACAGCGGTGCATGTTCTCTTAGTGGTGGCCTCGTTCAGTTGATGCATTGCAGCAACAGAACCTAGTGCATTGCAACACAAGGAGGCGTCCCGGTAGTTATCATAGACCCTGGTAACAAGGAGTGGCACGCGCATAATAATATTTAGATAAGCTGGACGCATGTAACATTGACAACCAACACTGGATTCCTCAGTACCAATCACGTTGCTACTCATATGCCCGTGCACGTTTGCCCTCGTTGCAATATCAATCTCGTCAGGCACGAATTCCCAATCTTCATTCTATGACCATCTTTAGGTTCGCAAATAATGCTGAAAAAAAAAAAAAAAAAACAGCTTTCAAAGCTGTATGTACACACGTTGGCGAAAATCATTGCCATGTATACACAACAGGACCATCGTACACTCTTGGTGTCATCTTCACACCTTGACACACTCCTGGGACTTGATGCACCTCCCTTCACGCCGCCAAGCTTGCTTGGGCCAGGATTTGTTGTCCTGCTTGTAGATGGGGCAAAGCGAAAAGGAACAATTATACGGCGCTGAATAGAAAGCAAAGCTGGCTGCTTTTCCCTTGCATATAGGTACACTGACACCCGGTGTCGCATCGGTAAATAATGGGTCCCCACCCCTATGGATAGGGGACAGGGAGGTGTGTTGGGAAGGCAGGGAGGTGTGACGGGAAGGCAGGGAGGTGTGATGGAAAGGCAGGGAGATGTGACAGAAGGTGTGATGGGGAGACAGGGAGGTGTGACAGAAGGTGTGATGGGGAGACAGGGAGGTGTGACAGAAGGTGTGATGGGGAGATAGGGAGGTGTGACAGAAGGTGGGATGGAAAGGCGGGGAGGTGTGACGGGAAGGCAGGGAGGTGTGATGGGAAGACAGGGAGGTGTGACAGAAGGTGCGATGAAAAGACAGGGAGGTGGCAGGGAGGTGTGACGGAAAGACAGGGAGGTGTGATGGAAGAGGTGTGACGGGAAGGCAGGGAGGGGCGCAAGGGAATACATGTGATTACACATGAATTAGAGGCGATTATGGGGCAAAATTGATGGCAGCACATGCACGGGAGCTAGAGTGCAGGAGGGATGGGATGGAAGGGAAGGGAAGGAAGGGGAGGGAAGGAAGGTAAGGAGCAGGCTAAAGAAAGGAAAAGGAATTGGACGGATGGAGGAAGGAGAGGGCGGGAGGATGGGGTTGGTTATAGGAAGCAGGAAGGGAGGGATGGTGGTGAGGACTGTGGGAGTAAGAATGGCAGGAAGAGTGGGTGGGCAGACGCCGCGAGTGTGACGATGGGAGAAGATTTGAAAAAGGGACGGAGAGGTGGCAATGATGGGGGAGCGAAGGCAGGGAACCGATGTAAGGAGGGATGTCAAGGAGAAAGAAGGGGTGTTATGTGACGACTCACCTGGTGTGAAATCACGATGCATGATGCCAGCGGCCCAGAGCGCCTGACTCTTCCACACTCGCAGCAGCGGAGTGGTGGTGGCCAAAGGGACACGACATGAATCAGGAACGCTGAAAACGGGGCGGGGATGGGGCGGAAGGTGGAAGCATGGGACGGAGGGGGGAAAAGAGGAGATGCGGGAAGGAAGGAAGGTGGGAGGAGAAGGTGTTAGACGGAGGGAGGGTGGAAGTGAAAGGATGGGGACGGAAGGAGGGAATAGACGACGAAGAGATGAGGAAGTGGGGTAGGAGAGTTGAAGAGGGAGATGGGGAGGCGAAGTGGAGGGGTGAGGATGAAGAGGTGGGCCTGAAAGGCAGAAAAAGAGGACCTGAGAGGAATGGGAGATGGGGAGGCGGGGCAGGGAGATGGGGGAGGCGGGATGTTATGAACAAAAGGGAGGCAGCGGACAAGGGGCGGCCCAAAATGTTTGGCGCTGATGGGGGTGGTGCTGAGAGGATTGAGGTGAAGATGGGGCGGGAAGAGAAGGGAGGAAAGAGATCGCAGGGAGGGAAGAGAGGGAAGGGAGGGAAGTTTGAGAAGGGAGGGATGAGAGGGAAGGGAGGGAAGGGAGAGAAGGGAGGGAAGGGAGGGAAGGGAGGGAAGGGAGATGCAGGGAGGGAAGGGAGGGAAGGGAGGGAAGGGAGAGAACGGCGGGATGGGAGAGAAGGGAAATCGCGGGGAGGTAGGAGAGGGAAGGGAGGGAAGGCTGCAAGGCTAGGGAAGAGAGGGAAGGGAGAGAGGGAGGGAAGGGAGGAGGGAAGGGAGAGAAGGGAGGGAAGCGAGAGAAGGGCCCGGAAAGGGGAGGTAGGTGAGGGAAGGGAGGGAAGGGAGGCAAAGGAGGGAGGGGACGGAAGGGACTGAAGGAAGAGACCATGGATGGGAGAAAAGGGAGGGGAGGGAGAGAAGTGAGGAAAGTGAGAGTATGGGAGAATGGGAGGCGGAGATGTGGATGCAGGGATGGGGAGAGGGGGATGCAGGGATGCAGGTGGGATGGCTTGAAGCTGCTTTGCTCGTAGCCGTTGCCATGCTCCCCTGCCATTCCCATTGCAATCGCTGATTATCCAAGCCCAGGTTGCAGGCTGTTATGTGCCCTGTGAGGCGTAGGATGTGCAGTCAGGAAAGCACCCCACCTGCAACACAAGCACAGAAATCGAGCAAGGGAATACAATGTGAGGGCTGTAGGAGGTCAGATTCAACTAAGAAAGAAACACATAAGTGTGGGGGACCTGGAGGGGCAGGGTGTGAGCAGAGCGCCCTTGGTAGAGGAGGGGGTAAGAAGAGGTAGGGGAGGGGAGGTGAGAAGAATGCCCCTGGTAGGGGGATGGGAGGTGAGCAAAGAGTGCCTGATAGGGCCAGGAGAGGTGGTAGGGGAGAGGCGATGAGATGGGAGTAGGTGGCAGGGGAAGGGGAGGTCAGATGGGAGTATGTTGTATGTGGTAGGGGGAGGGGATCAATGATGGGAGGGAAGGCAAGGAAGGGAGAGAAGTGAGGGAAGGGGGGGAAGGGAGGGATGGGAGAGAAGGGAGGGAAGGGAGTGAAGGGAGGGAAGGGAGGGAAGGGAGAGAAGGAAGGGAGAGAAGGCAGGGAAGGGAGGAGAGAAGGGAGAGAAGGGAGAGAAGGGAGAGAAGGGAGAGAAGGGAGAGAAGGGAGAGAAGAGAGAGGGAGAGAAGGGAGGGAAGGGAGTGAGGGAGGGAAGGGAGGGAAGGAGAGAAGGGAGAGAAGGCAGTGAAGCGAGAGAAGGGAGAGAAGGGAGTGAATGGGAAGGGAGAGGAGAGAAGGGGAGAGAAGGGAGTGAAGGGAGGGAAGGCAGGGAAGGGAGAGAAGGGAGAGAAAGGGGGGACGGGAGGGAAGGGAGGGAAGGGAAGGAAGGCAGGGAAGGCAGGGAAGGGAAGGAAGGGAGGAAGTCAGGGAAGGGAGAGAAGGGAGGGAAGGGAGAGAAGGGAGGGAATGGAGAGAAGGGAGAGAAGGGAGGGGCGGGAGGGAAGGGAGGGAAGGGAGAGAAGGGAGGGAAGGGAGTGAAGGGAGGGAGGGGAGAGAAGGGAGGGAAGGGAGAGAAGGGAGGGAAGGGAGGGGAAGGGAGGGAAGGGAGGAGGGAGGAGGGAAGGGACGGGAAGGAAGGGAAGGGAGATTGAAGGGAAGGGAAGAAAGGGAGGCAGGAATGGGGGAATGGGATATTGGGAGGCGGGAAGGTAGGAATGGGAGGCGGGACCGGAAGAATGGGCAGCGGGATGCGGAGAATGGGCGGCGGGAAGGGAATAGGGCGACGGGAAATGGGTACTCGGCGGCGGGAAAGGGGAATCGGGCGGCGGAAAGGGGGAATCGGGCGGCGGAAAACGGGGAATCGGGCGGCGGGAAAGGGGAAATCAGGGGCGGGAAAGGGGAATCGGGGCGGGAAGGGGAATCAGGGGCGGGAAAGGGGAATCGGGGGCGGGAAAGGGGAATCGGGGGCGGGAAAGGGAAATCAGGGGCGGGAAAGGGGAATCGGGGGCCGGAAAGGGAATCGGGGGGCGGGAAATGGGAATCGGGGGCGGGAAATGGGAATCGGGGCGGGAAAGGGGAATCGGGGCGAGAAAGGGGAATCGGGGGCGGGCGGGAAGGCACAACGTCGCCTCACTTGAGCAGGCGACAACTGCGATCGCGCAAGTGCGGCCCGCTATTCTGCACGTTGAGCGCGCGCGCGCGTCGTATTCACGTGAGGACGCAGTGTGAGGCGGCGAAGCCACGCCGCCTTGGGCGACGAGGGGAGGAAGATCGGCGCGACGAAATCGCCTAATTCCGGCGATGAGAGGTGGGGATTTCGAGCAAGGGCTTGTGTACGGTGCCTTTAGGCAGTGCGGCGACGGCTCGAGCTCTGGGGTGGTCCGGCGTCAATGATCGGCAATGAGGCAGCAACGGGTCGTGGCCGCGAGCGAAATGTCGGAGTACATGGACGTGAGAGCGTGGGGAGACTACGCGAGGCTGCTCGTGTGCTTGCGAGGCGGCGGGCTTCCTACCGTGGAGAGTGCTAGACCATTTACCCTAAACTCTCTCGATTAAGTCAGTCTGTGCTCTGGTATGCCTATACGGGCTCCCTGGCGTGTGACCTAGACGTTAGCGCTACGCTATGGTCGCACGCCGTTTCTTATGCTAGAGTGTTTACATATGCTGAGGAGTGGGCAAGTGGGCTACGCGGGGAATGGATCGAGTATACTTATGGCAAAACTATAACTTTCGGCCCCCTGCTGAGAGTAGCAGGAGAGTGGAGGAACGTCGCCTGTTCTTTATGCTCGTGCAGGTTGTAATCTGGTTACCAGGGTGTACCTTTTATAAACTTTAGCGTTTGGCCCTGCCAAATGTATACCGCCGCTTTAAAATTCGTGACGCCGCGGAACATATTTTTTGCGCAATTTTGGTTTTAGTCCCCCGACGTAGCGGTCGATGTGCTCTCCCATAAGCAAGAACCCAATATGCTTACACAGAACCATGGATATGTTCGTGCAATCCTGGATGGAACCGAGTTGGCGCCAAGTGCACAACCTCTGCCGATCCACGCACGCCCACGCTCCACGCATCCCACATACGATAATAGGATACCTCTACGAAAAAAACGACAGTGCCCAGGGTCTGGATGATGTCAGAATGTTGTATTTTTCTAGCCTGCAGTGGGGTACTCTATAGCGAGTACAGCCCAATCTAGGGTTCCTATATGTACTCAACTGCTTGCTAGTGCAACTCCTCTTTTTCTGCCTCTAAACTTTCTACTACCTATCTTGACATGCTATCAGAGCAGGTCGACCCTCCTGGGTCGATCCTGTGGGTGGGCCCACCACCTAAGCCTTCCGCTGCTACTGCTACTGCTACTGCTACTCCCTGTCCGCCGCGCGCCCCGTGGCGCGCGGCGTCGAAACTAGGGTTTTCAGCCCGCCGTGCGCCCCGAGGCACGCGGCGGTTTTCTGCCCGCCGTGCGCCCCGAGGCGCGCGGCGGTTCTCTGCCCGCCGTGTGCCCCGAGGCGCGCGGCGGGTTCCTGCCCCGTCACTCGGCACGTCGCCCCCGGGAGGCGCTGCGACGGGCGACGGGGACCCGCGCGTCGCCCCCCGTCGCCCGTCGTGGCCTGCGCGCGGCCCGTACACCCGGCACGCGGCCCGTACGGGCTGCGCCAGGCCTGCGCGCGGCCCGTACGGGCTGCGCCAGGCCCGCGCGCGGCCCGTACGGGCTGCGCCAGGCACGCGCGCGGCCCGTACGGGAAGCGCCAGGCCCGCGCGCGGCTCGGGCCGCCTGCGCGCGGTTCGGGCGGCTCTACCAGGCCCGTGGGCGGCCCGTTCCTCGCTGCTCCTGCCCTCTCCACTGTCCCCCGTGCTTCTACCGGCGCCTCACCCCTCCTACAGCCCGTTCTCCTAAATTAGGGTTTGGGGGTGAAGAGTGTGGGGGTGGCGGTTGTGGGGGTGCCGGTTGTGTGCCCCGTCCCCTACTCCTCCTCCTCCTCCGTCTCCCGCTGCTGCAGCTGCCGCTCAGGGGGGTGGGTGTGTGGGAGCCGAAGGAGTGGTGCTAGGGGGGTGACGTGGGAGTGGAGCTAGGGTTCCAGCAGGGGGTGTGTGAGAGGGGGGTGGGACAGTCGGGGGAGGTTGAGCGGAGGCTGCCGTCTTGTCGTCAGCAGCACCTGTAGTCCGGGGCGCTTGTTCCGGTAGCCCAGTCGTAGCCAGCTGCGCCAGTCGCCCGTGGGTCCGTTGCTCGTCTGCCGCTCTTCTTAGCCGCGGAGCCAGTTACTCCTGTAGTCCGGGGCGCTTGTTCCGGTAGCCACTGAGCCAGTTTGACTCCTGTTGCCCGTGTGTCTGCAGCTTCAGCCGACGCCTCTTATCTCCTCTCCACCTACAGTCTCGCCTCCTCCTCCTCACTTGCCCTTTGTGAATGCCTCTAGCTTTGCATGCACTTGTGAATCTGCTCTATGACTGCTTGCTCTGCTGATTATACCCCACTTTGACTATGGGGGTGTGTCAGAATGTTGTATTTGTCTAGCCTGCAGTGGGGTACTCTATAGCGAGTACAGCCCAATCTAGGGTTCCTATATGTACTCAACTGCTTGCTAGTGCAACTCCTCTTTTTCTGCCTCTAAACTTTCTACTACCTATCTTGACAGATGATCCCTCCCCTTGCGATCTTGCCTCGTTGTCGCTTGACTTTGTGATGATGAGGTGCCACCAATCCATGGCGAGTCCTTGCAGCAACGACATGGCAGGTCCTCGCGCAGCAACGACTGTTAACGGGAATGGAGTGTTGGCCCCGCCCTCGCTTGGGTGACGCCGACGTCCTGGTCGGATGTACGGGAGAAGGAGCCGATCGTACGCAGTGAGGGAGCTGCTCGACAAGCCTCGTCGAGTTGCAAGAGATCGCTGCGGTGTTGCCGTCGACCAGGGGAGCTCGACGGCCTTCTTCTGCGGGGGAGGTCGAGTGGTGGTCATCGACCTGCACGGGACTGTCGCGGGGGCTGGAACCGTCGACCAGGGGAGCTCGACGGTTGCAGCTGACTGGGCTGGTCGACGGATGGGCCGCACGCGAACGTCGTCGAGGTCGCGGTGACAAAGGTGACTTCGGGCTGGTATCCTGAAGTCGATGTGGCTTGTCAGATGCAGACAACAGCCGACGGATGCACAACGATGCAAGTCGGGCCAGTCATCTGCGCGCACCTGTGAGCGCGCTCACTGCTGCCATCTACGGGTGCAACACTCGACGGCCGCTCTGCTGCAACGTTAGCACGCCGTCGACCTGCTATGTTGGCAGGCCACGTTTCTGTAGTGTTAGCGCGACTCCTCTATGCAACGCTGGCAGGCGGTCGACCATGCTGTGCTGGCGGTCGACCAGGCTAGTTGCAGAGTTGCTAGGTGCCTGATGTAGTCATTCTTGTCATTGTGATGTCAATCATTCTGTATTCTCAACTTTGCTAGTGGAAACTCTTGCCGATTTCTCCCGTGAATGCGCAAGTGCTAAGGAACGCAAGCAAAGCTACGATCACTCCTAGAGTTCGTGCCAACCCGCGTACTCTAGCTCACGACTATTGTAGAGTGACTCTCCGCAACGACATGGCGGGTCCTCGCAGCAACGACATGGCGTATTGAATTTTCTCTGCCTCCAACGAGACGTAGTTGGCGTTGAATAATACATCCATACTTCAGATCCACGCCTGAACCGTCCGGGCCATCTCGTTGACTCAGGTCAAAGCATGGTAGACGCTGTGGCTTGAGTGGCATCGGTGGGGGTTGTGCCGACCGATCGCTCTTCGCCGTGATATTGACCCGTCATTAGTTTTCCGCCACATTCGTTGCTCCGAGGTGTGTCGTCCCATGGTCGTCACGCGCTTCGTTGCACGACGCCATCACTAGCAGCACTCGAGCGTTGTTCTACCCTCTCATGCCGAGATGCTGTTGGTGTTGTTGTCGCTTGTGTTTGTGTTTGTCTCTTTTTAGAGTGCGATGGAGGTGTTCCCGTTCTGCTCTTAGCGTCACAATTTCTTCGCGCTTTCGTGCAAATCTCACGTCAGCTCGTCCAGGCCTTCCTGTGTGAGGTCCGAGAGATTAATGTGATCCGCCATTTCAAAGGACGGCGGCCGGCTTAAGTGCTCGGCGCAGTCGTGGCTGCACATGCATGGGAGAGAGCACGGGGACAGCGAGTTCTAGTACGATAAAGGGTGTATGCGACTTGGAATGAAAAATCAAAAGCTGAGTTTTGCTAAAATGCACAACCCGCAAGGAAAGTGGCTTTGATAGTCAAGCGTTACGGGTGCACTTAAGTGAGTAAGCGAGGATTGCAATAATGGCATATGGGTACAAATGTGACCAGAGACATAAGCGGACGCTTATATAAAAAACAGGCCAACGGTAACACAGTGCATGCGAGCTAGATTAGTACGGTTCTAGTACCGAGCTTCAGTCTAGTCTCGTAGCGTAGGCCGACCTAGGACAACCTAGCATGGTTTGGGAAATGTGGCGCACGAAGGCGGCGAAACGTCATTAGCAGTAATGGACAAAGAAACGATTGGTAGTGGTGCGCGGTAAGAAACATCACAAAAACCCTATGCCAAGTTTGGACGAATTTTGATTGCGATTGTCTTCGCGTAAAAAAATCCGGACCCAATTTCGACCGACGGTTGGAGTCATTTGATAGGAGCTCCGAGACACATCTCGCGACAAGGCTTGGTGCGGTTCAAGTTCCAATTTGGCACGCGAGCTTTTCCGGATGACATTCGGGCGCAATCCGTTTTGTTGCAAATTCGTGACCAAATTATTCAAAACTAAATTCTGAATTTGTTCATTTTGGAAATTGATGATTTCAAAATTGCATTTATTATTGCGGTTTACAAGAACCATTATTCAGCATTCTAGCAACAAGCAGTCTTAGCACCAGGTCAAATAGCCTACGCACAGGCGGGCCTTGAAAGCGCCCGGTGGGCAAGGACGACATCTCCAAGGTCGCCGTCGTCGATGAAGAACTTGTTTGGAAAGACGAACGCGCCCACAGCCGGATCGTGGGGGATCCTCCGCTCCACGACAGCAAAATGGATCATCTGTTTGACCTTTTCGCACCACTCCTGGTAGTCTGGCCTGTTCTGCTTCGGCTGGCTACTGATTCGCTTGCGACGCTTATCCTGCAGAAGGGGCCACTCGATCTGCAATGTGGTGTAGGGTTGGGTGGATGTTTATGAGGAGGGTAGGTTACGGGTAAATGAGGCAACTGAAAGCGGTGATGCAGTCGTCACTATCTACGTAACTGCAAAGGCCTAATCGACCAGGGTTTTAGCTGAAGTACAGGCAAGGGGTTAAGGGGATGAGGCATGGGGGTACAAACACATATCTACATCCTTACCGAAAACAGGCCCCATGCCACCATGCGTCTCTTGAACTTGGTGAACACCGCCCCGCCCCTCTTGAAGGAGAGCTTGAACGCATAAGCGAACAAGGGGTTGCTGAAGGGTGTCCCGGTGGCCTTGTCAAAGTGCCAGTTGAGGGCCCACTGTTCTGCTTTTTGGCAGGGAGGGTATGGGTTGGAAAGGGTTTTGTAGAGAGATCAAATGGGGGGATGAGAGTCAGGGTGAGCCACATTGCACGGTCATATGTAGCTGCCAACTGGCATATGGTAGGGCATATTGTGTTTTCGAGCTGCACTGCACATACCATCTCTGTACTCGGCTAGGAGTTGATCGTCGTCGAACCAGGTCGTTGGGTGTAGCTCAGTGGGCAGGCTATCCACGAGATGGCTGTAATCGGCAAGGCCCATGCCGGTGTATGCTGCTGGCCTGAGGGTGGAGTTGATAGTTGACCTTGTTGAGGACAGCTGGTGGTTGAAGACTCCCATGGTTGACTTGTCATTGTGCAACCACAGCAGCTTCATTGCCTCGAGCCCTTCTGCAGACAAGTGGACAGAGAACGCTTCGAACACTTCCTCCGGTGCAGGGTAGTACTGTATTTTCTCCGGGGGGTTCAGAAACAGGAGCTGAGAGCACACTAAGTAGGCTTTGTTCTGCGCAGGGGTGTAAGGTATACAAGACGACATGGGAGAGAGAAACCAGCAGTTATGAGGGTGGCTGCGTGACCATGGGATGGTGACTAGCAACACTGTGTAAACTTGCCACGTCACACCCTGCGCCATCCGACACGTCCACCAACAACCCGGCCCACTTGCCACGTCACACCCCCCTACCACAAGCCACGTCACCCCCCACCCACCTGACACGCCTCGCTTCGTCATGCGCAGTGGTCACGTGTACCATTTCTAACTGCCACGTCAGACCCAACCCTCACCTTCCGCCACGTCACACCCTCCTTGTCCGCCACGTCCACCAACCAGCCCCACGTGCCACGTCATACCCTCCTGCATCCGCCACGTCCACCAACAATCAGCCCCACGTGCCACGTCACACCCACCCACCCCATGCCACGTCACCCCCCACCCACCTGACACGCGTCGCCTCGTCAGTGGCCGCTCCTGTGTACCATTCCAAACCTCCACGTCATCCCCAACCCTCACATGCCGCCACGTCACACCCTTTTGCATCCGCCAACAACCCGCCCTACTTGCCACGTCAACTAGCCAGCAACAGCGACGTCACCCCCCACCCACCTGAGACGCCTCGCTTCGTCATGCGCCGCTCACGTGTACCCTTTTAGGGTGCCACGTCATCCCCAACCCTCACCTTCCGCCACGTCACACCAACCTGCATCCGCCACGTCAGCCCCAACCCTCACATTCTGCCGCGTCACACCCTTTTGCATCCGCCAACAACCCGCCCTACTTGCCACGTCACACCCCCCACCAAGAGCCACGTCACCCCCCACCCACTTGAAACGCCTCGCGCCGTCATGCGGCACTCCCTTGCACCCTTTCACACCGCCACGTCATATCCCAGCCCTCACCTTTTGCCACGTCACACCCAACCCGCATCCGCCACGTCCACCAACATGCCGCGCCACTTGCCACGTCACACCCACCCACCCCATGCCACGTCACCCCCCACTCACCTGATACGCGTCGCCTCGTCACGCGCCGCTCCCGTGTTCCCTTCGAAACCGCCACGTCAGCCCCAACCCCGCCCTTGCTGCCACGTCAACCCCAACCCGCCCCATGTGGCCCGCCACATACCGGGAATGGGTTTGTCTCCTGCAACACTAGCACTCGTGCCTTGTCCACGGCACTCATCGGCGGCGGGGTACCAGCCATAGGCAGGGCTGCCGACCCGCTGGCATAGCTGGCAGGTACTCCACGACGCAGGCCGAGCTGTGCAAACATGGCGTACATCTCAGACCGCAGCGCCTGGAACTCCTCCCGTGTAACAAACTGCTCGTGCTCCGCACTTTCACCTAGGGCACCCATGTGCGGAGGAAAAGGGTGTGAAGAAACCCCCCTCTGGCCAAGGGGGTCAACGTCTTCTGCAGCAGTCCCGTGTGCCCTCACACTATCACGCTGGCGAGAAAAGGGGAGCTCAGGGAAGGGATTGGCATGACTGCCTGCCTGATGCCCGCGCGAAGGATCGGCGAGAGGGGAGACCGCGTTGCCCCGGACAGGAGAAGCGTGGAGTTGCCGAAATTGGTATGAGGGTGAGGCGAGTGGGGACTGCGTGATGTGGGCGGGTGGAGGGGATTCGGATTCTTGTCCTCTTGGCGCGTCTGGTGCCGTCGCAGCGACTTTGCTCGGGCCAGCCCATGGCGTGTAGTACCTTGGTGCTCCGGAGGAGAGCGGTGTAACACTCGCTCTTCCGGCAGCCTTCGTTAGATGCATTCGTTGCATGCTTACGGGTGGCCCAATGCCTGTAATGCGAGGGGCTGAGATGTAGAGGGAGCCGGAAACAAAAATTAGAGTAGATCGGTTTCAAGGCGGGGCCAGACATGCATGCATATTCTGAAAGGTTTGAATCTAGATCGGGTTCAGGGTTGTACTGGTTTGGGACAAGAGGGTTTACCTTGCTTGGCAGATTCGTCGACCTTCTCCTTCCCTACATGGGAGAAACAATGTGAAAAAAGGGTGTTTTTTGGCACGGTTTAGCAGATGGTTCAACACGTCACGCCAGTTTTATTGGACACAATGCTCACCTTTCTGCTGTCCCTTCGGTTTTGGGGCAGCCTGCGCCTTCTTGTTGCCACCTTTCCGCGGGGTGCTTTGGCGGACGCTGCGACGTTTACCGGCAGGTTCTTTCTTGCTGGTACCCTTTGGAACCCCTTTGGCGCGGCCACCCTTTCCTCCTCCATCCCCTTTTGCTCCCTGGCTCCCTTGCTTTTTACCAACCCCTTCACTTTTGATCTTCACCTTACGCGCCTTCGGTTTGCCTGCTGCTTCGCCGCGCGCAGCGTCAACTGCCCCGCGCTTTCGGGAAGGGCGAGTCCGGCCCCCCTCCTTCCCTGTACCACTCACCCGTCTGCCACGCCCGCCCCGTCCCTTCACTGGAGCCACATCCTCCTCCTCCTCCTCCTCCTCCTCCTCCTCCTCCTCCTCCTCCTCCTCCTCCTCCTCCTCCTCCTCCTCCTCTGCTGCCTCCTCCTCCTCCTCCTCCACATCCTCCTCCTCGTCGTCACCCTGCTCCTCCTCCTCCTCCTCCTCCTCCTCCGCCTCCTCCTCCTCCTCCTCCTCCTCCTCCTCCTCCTCCTCCTCCTCCTCCTCCTCCTCCTCCTCCTCCTCCTCCTCCTCATCCTCCTCCTCCTCCTCCTCCTCCTCTTCGTCCTCCCCGCCATCATTCTCATCTTTTTCATCCTCCCCAACATCCGCGTCATCCTCCTCCGCTTCCTCTGCATCCTCCTCTCCCTCCGCATCCTCCTCCTCATCCTCCTCCTCCTCCGCATCACCGGGGTCTTCATCGCCCCGTTTCGGCTTTGTTCCCGTCGCTGCTTTCTTGCCTCTCCTTCCGCCGGATGCTTTTCTTGCTGCGGGTCGGCCCTTCTGGCGCAATGCTTGACTGCCCGCCTTGCCACTAGCTTCCTTGGCGCCTCGTGGTGTCCCAACTGCCGCGCCTCCGGCGTCGTCAGCACTACCTGTCGTCTGCCGCCTTTTCGCCCGCGTAATGAGGTCCCCGGGCACGGCGGTGTCATAATCGTCCTCCCCATCGCTCTTCCTCTGCTTACGCCTCCCCCGTCCACCAGAAGGTGGAGAGCCACCGACCAGCCCCACCGACTCGAGCTCCCCCACCTTGTCCTTATCCAGCACGGCTGCAGAAACTTCGACCACGGTCGGCTGGAGCAACGTCAGATGGTGTTGCGTTGCCGCCGCCTCGGACTCCTTGGTTGCGGCATGCTCGGCGCGGGGATCGCCTCCGTGATTGCCCTCCGTCGCCGATCCCTCCATCTCCGCCGACGGGACTGCAAGACTTGCGCTCCCTCGCCCCGGATCTTCGTTGCCACCACTGGTGCCCTCGTTAGTCGGACCGGGCTCGGTTCCAGCAGAGGCATGATCCGCCTCTTTGTTCACTGTAGAAACACGGTTGCGTGCCGTTGGTTGCTTCCCGTTGTCTCCCGCCTTCATGCCGGACTTCTTTTGACCGCGGGCGACCTTCTTTGCCACCACTTTTTTCATCCCCTTGCCACGCGCGACGGATGCATTAGTTTTTTTGGTGCCGGCGCCACCCTCCCTATCGTTCCGCTTCGACATCGTCCTTGTCGCACGGCGTCCGGCCTGTTCCTCCTCCATTGCTTGTAGACGTGTTGCACGTGTCATGGTAATTGTGGGAGGAGCAAAGTTGCAAATCGCGCGGAAGGGTTGAGCCGGTTTCGAAAGGGTTCTGCAACTGAATCCCACGATGGGATTATCGACGGTCTATCACTGTTATGTGTTTCCGAAAACCGCCGCTTCAACTAAAACTGTCATAGTAGCCACTATGCTTCGCGCTAAGGCCGATCTGGAGAGGCGTGTGTCAAGGCAACGAGCAGCGTCAAAGTGTTGGCCCAGGGAGTGACGGAAGCAGGTGGGTGGGGCATGAGGGTGGTTGGGGTGGGTTGCGAGACTAGAGAGAGTCATGTAACCCTATCAGGCTATATTGGATGGTGTACGTGTAGCCACCCTAGCATAAACCCACATTCCGCTCGATCTCAGCCGCTCAATGGCTGAAGTACCTCTTGGCTGATGACTGTGTTGCGGGGGGAATCGTTTGAGATGCGTCGGCCAATCACGGTTGCCAACGCATCAATCACTACAAAGGGTAAAACCGGTGTGAAACCTACAGTGCGAAAGTACAGTGTTTTCGAGACCGCACAGTGTTACACGCAGAAGCTAAATTTTATTCAAACATACAACAATGCATTTCAACAAACTCTAAGTTGCAAATGGTTTACTACGGGGTTGGGGTAAGTTAATCGGTGATTCTTATGTCACACACACAACGACCGTCCAGAATTATTACTTGGGACAGATGTACTGTCCACTTTTAGGCTTTGCCACAATGCTTTAGGGCCAGCGGACGACATTCTAACACGATTATCAATAGTAACAAACGTGACTACGTTGTGGTATGGTGTTGCATTGGCATCCATTCTTGCACAGACATTGAACAGGGTGCTTGGAAGGAGTGGTATGAAGCACAGGCCCAACGCACAAGCGTAGATGCGTTATCGACAGCCATGGTTAGACTGTGCGACGATGCAGCGTTCAGGCCTGCGGGTTGCGCGACATGGTGAATCCGTTGTGGTATGGTGTTGCATTGGCATCCATTCTTGCACAGACATTGAACAGGGTGCTTGGAAGGAGTGGTATGAAGCACAGGCCCAACGCACAAGCGTAGATGCGTTATCGACAGCCATGGTTAGACTGTGCGACGATGCAGCGTTCAGGCCTGCGGGTTGCGCGACATGGTGAATCCGTTGTGGTATGGTGTTGCATTGGCATCCATTCTTGCACAGACATGAAGAGGGTGCTTGGAAGGAGTGGTATGAAGCACAGGCCCAACGCACAAGCGTAGATGCGTTATCGACAGCCATGGTTAGACTGTGCGACGATGCAGCGTTCAGGCCTGCGGGTTGCGCGACATGGTGAATCCGTTGTGGTATGGTGTTGCATTGGCATCCATTCTTGCACAGACATTGAACAGGGTGCTTGGAAGGAGTGGTATGAAGCACAGGCCCAACGCACAAGCGTAGATGCGTTATCGACAGCCATGGTTAGACTGTGCGACGATGCAGCGTTCAGGCCTGCGGGTTGCGCGACATGGTGAATCCGTTGTGGTATGGTGTTGCATTGGCATCCATTCTTGCACAGACATTGAACAGGGTGCTTGGAAGGAGTGGTATGAAGCACAGGCCCAACGCACAAGCGTAGATGCGTTATCGACAGCCATGGTTAGACTGTGCGACGATGCAGCGTTCAGGCCTGCGGGTTGCGCGACATGGTGAATCCGTTGTGGTATGGTGTTGCATTGGCATCCATTCTTGCACAGACATTGAACAGGGTGCTTGGAAGGAGTGGTATGAAGCACAGGCCCAACGCACAAGCGTAGATGCGTTATCGACAGCCATGGTTAGACTGTGCGACGATGCAGCGTTCAGGCCTGCGGGTTGCGCGACATGGTGAATCCGTTGTGGTATGGTGTTGCATTGGCATCCATTCTTGCACAGACATTGAACAGGGTGCTTGGAAGGAGTGGTATGAAGCACAGGCCCAACGCACAAGCGTAGATGCGTTATCGACAGCCATGGTTAGACTGTGCGACGATGCAGCGTTCAGGCCTGCGGGTTGCGCGACATGGTGAATCCGTTGTGGTATGGTGTTGCATTGGCATCCAACATTGCGTGGACATTGAAACCATTGTGCTATTGTACGACATTGTCATCCATTCTTGCATATTCATACAGCACGGTGCATAGAGGTACACTACACCTCGAGAGTCACGCTATAGGTATTCGCTCCACGCAACAATCATACGTTAGGGCATGGAGTTATTGGGTACTTCCCGTATCGTTATCAAGTAAGGGTTGTTCAACATGAGTCCGGAGGATATGAATGTTTACTAGTTATGAATGACTTGAGTGTCTTTAAGTTGTAATTGTACATTTGCATTTCCATGTTTGTTTGAAGCCTCTTGAGCTCACCTACGTGATGCCGATTTCCCCCCTATATCGAATTCGCGACACAATCACAGATCCAAACGGATCTCTTCCCGCTCTTCCAAAATCCCCCTCGACTCTCACGCACGGGTCATAAACACAAGTTCTTGACTCAATAGGCACGTCCTTCTCACCGTGCTCGCGACGCATTTACACGACCGTGAGACTTAAGATCCAGTCCATTCTCCTCTGCTCACGTCGTGGTCACTCTAGACGGGGGCGACACGCCTTGTAGGGAAGACGGCCCGTGAGGTGGGCGGTCTGTATCGTGCCTGGTAACGAGCACGCGGCTCGACATTGTTAGCCAGTCATAAACATTAGCGCCAACGTCAAGTGCCAGTCGTGCAGTGATACAAGCCGCCCACCACAGTGCGCGCATTGGCGATGATCGTGTAGCTGTCACTGGCTTCTTGAACAGAGTACTTAATGCGTTCACAAGCTTCATCACGGCTAGTAGCTTCTTAAGCGATTTCTCGACTCTACAACGGATCCGTAACACATGGGCTCTTTACCAGGCGTCGTCTGCGAGTTCTGCAACAGATGGTTCCCCAACGCCCAAGTTTATGGCGGTCATAAGTCACGGAGGACCCCTTGCCAAGGACTATCCGCCGTGGCAAGGCCCACGCGATCTGCACCGACCGCCGGTCTACACGCTCTGCTATTCGTCCACGACATTCTGTCGGACGCTCCAGCCGCTCCCGGTTCACCTACAGCGTCTAACGCATCCAACGTCGTCAGTGAGAGCGGTCCTCCACGCATGTCTGAAGCTGACGTTGACGAAACTCCCAACGACGTGAACGAGGGGCCTCCTGAAGATGAACATCAACCACAACCAGGAGCTCCCGCGGCTGACACGAGTGACCATCCTGAGAGCCGGCCCGAAGGGAGTCATGCCGCGCCGCCATCAATCATCTCCGGACAGAGCAATGCCACGCCCCTCAATCCGCTCGCGTTGAAGCTGCTGCATTTCGTTCGGCGCGTGAATGGCGGAATGGGAATGGCCGAGGTTGACATCAACGGCCTGCTTCAGCTAGTCGTAGAGCCCGGCCTTGCGCCTCTTGTGATCTCGGAGCTCCGGAACTGCAAGGATCTGGAGCGGTTCGAGATGGAGCGCTTGGCAGGGCTCAACCGCGGATGGTCGGTGGCAACCTTCGAGATTGACGGTCATCCACCACAGCGCTTGCTCTTTCAAAACTCAGTCCAGGTAAGCCGCCTTTGCATTCAAGGCCGTGAAATGATGATGAGGCACACTGGGTTTGCATGTACGTAGTTATCCTTGTATTAACCGTACACCCACCTTCACCGCCACTAACCATGCCTCTCCTCTCACCTGCCTTCGCCACCGTACACCAGGCATTCGCTGAAATGTTTGGACATCCCAACAACGCGCCCGGCTTCAAGCTCAAGGCGCGTGTTGATGAGGACCCTGACGCAGGCGGCCGTTGCTATACCACGCCTGAAACAGGAACGTGGTGGAATGATGCTCAGGTAAGGAAAGACCACGTTGCCACCCCAAACCCAATCCTTCCTCATGCCCCGGTCGCTGCACTGATCTGTCAAGAGCATCTTGAGTGTTAAACTGTGTGTCCGTTGCCGCTTTGTCGTGCACTGCAGGAACACTTCGGTTGGTCCGAAGTTGTGGGGGGGATCATCTTATATTCCGATGTGACGCACATGAGCAACAACGGCCGGAAGAAGGCGTGGCCGCTCATGATGACGCTGGCCAACATCTCCCAGGCCAAGCGATGGGGGAAAGCCGGGCACACACTACTTGCCCTCCTTCCTATCCCCCCGTCTGCAATGTCTGCCGTGGAGAAGGTGATGCTCTTCCAGCGATGCGTCATCACCGTGCTGCAGCCGCTTCTTGATGGCATCGCCAGGTCCGTACTCGGTTTGCATCTTCCTAACACATCATCTCACCACCTGCATGGTATGCAAACCCTCTCTGTATGTAGCATGGCCCTTTGCCCCTCGTCGTTCCTCCCTGAAAGCCGTAACCCGAATTCCTGTTGCCACTCTACCTGTTCCTTGCAGCGGGTTCCGTCTCAGGGACCCTTTCGGTGATTGGCAAACCGTGCGCCCCCTGCTGTACGCCTGGGTGTGCGACTACCCCGAGAGCGGCAAGATCAGTTGCACACTCTCGCATGGATCGCGGATGCCGTGCAGCATCTGCTATGCTGCAAAGGTGAGGTCACATGCCATCTGCACGCATTCAAATACATTCTCGTTTGTGGGTCGCCTGATAGAACCCACATAGCTACCACCCTTACCTTTTCTATCCCATCCTAAACCCCCGTGCTACAACAGGAGCATCTGAGTGCGGTCAAGGCACGGAACACGCCGCGCACGCCTGAACAGCAGCAATGGATCGTTAACGAGGCGGCTGGGACGACAACTAGCCAGGACAACCCGTGCAAGGCCTACTCTACCTACCCTGTTGAGGTGAGCGACCTGTTTCCCCGGCCCATGAGTAGTCTATGCTCTCGCCCGCCGCGTCATGAATTGCCAAATGTGCTCTGCCCAATTGAATTCACCCCACTTGTGGATGAGGTTAGCTATCCACTCTCACGTACATCTCTCCTCCATTCCTCACCACATCCCCATTTCCAGTGCGTGCTCTGGAAGTGGGATGTCCCAGGGACCGCGTGGGGCAATCCCTACCTCGTGGTCATGCCTGACATCATGCACCAGGCGGACCTGGGCATCATGAGCCACATTGTGGCTGTCGTGCGCAAGATGAAGAAGCGGCGTGTGAAGCAGATGGACAGGTCAGTGTTTTGGGGATTGGATTCGTTGCTCTTAGTCACTGGAACTCAAACCATAAGTTCTGTCCTATTACTGACATGTTTTCTGCCCTTTTGCCACCGCTGAACTGATGTGTATGGGCAGGCGCCTGTCCCTCATTCGCGACCGCACGCGCCTGAATCACATGCGCCTGCCGGAGAGCGCCTATTTCGAGACCGGAGCATGTGTCGCGGCCTATGAGCACAGGGCCGTCATGCAGGTATGAACCCTCCATTCCCTGTTGCTTGTCCTAGCCTAAACCCTCAAGTAGTCTGCGAGTGCTGCCATTGTTTGTCCCAACTCCTCACACCATCTGTGCTCACCCTCCCCTTTGCTGCTATCCACATTCTTTGCAGGTCATGGTGTTTGTCTTTGCTGGCCTGCTTCGCCAGCCCCAGATGGATGCCGTTCGTGCCTATCTTGGCTGGTACATCCTGTGCTTCCAGCCTCAGAGGCACACTGAGCGGTCCCTCCGGGAGCTGAAGAAGATGGCCTCTCGGTAATAATACCATGCATGTAAACCCCCGTGCATGGGATGAATGCTTGGCTACTGTAAATGTGCTCTTGTAGTAGGCAATGTTGTGAGGATGTTTGGTGCTAAACTTTGATAGGAAAGGATCAGGAAAAGGAAAACGATATGAATAAGTAGACTCTGTGATTGCATGTGTTGTCATCTCCCACTCTCATCAGGCTCGTTGAGCAGTTGCAGGCTGCGTTTCCAAAGCAGCCATCCTCTTGGTGCCTTGTGAAAACACATCTCATGTCACACTACGTCGACTCCATACGTCGCGCGGGTCATGTGACTGAATTCAGCACCAACATGTTCGAGCACTTGCACGGACCGTTGGTAAAGAGGATCTACCGTCGGTCCAACAAGCGCAATGTAGATGGGCAGATCATGAAGTTCCATGCTAGGCGCATTCCGGATGTGGTGCCGGTGGATGATCCTGCTGGCCGGGACACCGCCATGCGGCAGGTAAATCTGTTTAGTGCTTGAATTGCATGGATATGAACTCAGAATGTAATAATATCAATAGCATATGTTGGCAGGCGATTGAGACCGACACACGGACGCTCATCAAGGAGTCATACCTCCTCCCTGTGGAGTTACCAGAAGAACCCACCTCCACCAACTGGTTTGCAAGGAAGTGGGCCAAGCAACACCCTCGTGCCCAAGCAGCCCTCAAGGATGCGCTTATGCGTTATGCAGGATGCGTCACCAAGATTCGAGTAAGTAGTTGCAAGTGTATGCAATCAACCATCATTTGGCTGGCTCGTATCATACATGACTAACATCAACTGTTATGCAGGCCCATGCATCGCTGGCAATCCCTGCAGCAGACGACGCCAGCTTCTCAAGAGTTTCTCACTTCGTTCGAGCGACCCCTGACTATTTTGAGAGGCCATGGTACTCGGATGTTGCAGTGGAGGGTGTAAGGTATGGTCGGAGAGAGGAGTGGTATGCAAGGTTGCTTCTGTTGTTCCATACAAAAATACGTGGAGAGAGGGAGGAGCTGGCTTACGTTAGATATTGGAATGCAAGCGGAGAGGATACAGCAACAGGATGCCTTCGCCTCAAGTGGACAACAGAAATGTACGCGTACTCCGTGATTCCGATTGAAGCGCTGCTCCGCCACGTCCATGTGGTGAAGGCATTCCATCTGGACAGTACCTATCTCCTTAATAAGTATCAAATGTGATGCATTTATCTTGTAATAAAATGGCCAGCATATTTTTAAGCAGACACATTTTAGGGAAGTCAAAGCTTAAAAAACCAATTACAAAATCACAACAAATTTGGCACGCTTCAAATAAACGGCAATGTACCGGAGTCGCGGATTAGATTTCGACTTCGACAAACAAACGCGTTCCGATTTTATTCCGCGATTGGTCGCGATAAGGCTTCGGAACTTCGCCAACCAAAACACCTGAAATGTACACCCCTTCGAACCCCCTTCAAAAACCAAGGTTTTTTTTTATGAATGTTAGTAATTTCCTTGGAGTGTGCATCTACATTTATGGTTTACAGATTTTCTCAATATTTTGATGTGTGTAATTAATCTGTTTTGTACCTTTCGTAACAATTTCCGGGCGCACTGAAACAGTGACGATCGGCGATTTGGGATCTGATTTCGCAGACGCTACCGCTTTCCTTTTTCCGATTTCATGGTAGTTCACGCCAAGTCCTTGAGGTGACGCCTCGCGAGAGCACTGGCAGGGCTGACGTTTCAAATTACGCCTTCCTGAATCTGGGAAATATTTTCCCTTGGTATTATGGGTGCATATTTTCCAGAAAAAAACATCACCCCGATTGCTCAGTGTTGGAAAGTTCTATAGTCTGATTGTCCAGGGTCAAGAAGTCAGGATCAGAGTATTAACACGCTGTGCATTATCGAAGCTGAACATGTCATGACGCTGGATACACTTGTGTGCAATAATTTACACCCCTCGCAATGACTCAACTGTATTTGTTCACCCGTTTTGGCGCGACAAAAAACACGCGAATTCGGTCAACCTGAAATGCGACACTTCAAATGTCGCTGGTTTTTATCGATCGCCGATACGTTGGGAAATTCGCACTTTCGTTGTGTGACATGCTTGCTAGAAATCTTGTAACACAACATTCTGTTAATTTTACTTTCGTACAGTTACGGCTGGCAATCAACCCTTTGAACTCGCGAGTTTTGTCGAGAAGAGAGTGTACTCAAATGCGATACCTGGTGCTGTGTTCGCTCGAGTTGGCACTGTACGATCTCGATGGTGGGTGTATCAGAACGAAAGCTCAAAGAAACTTCTTACCGATGAAGCGGGGGGTGGGGGGTGATTACGGCGGTGTTCGCCAGGAACTTTGAAAACGGACGGCCTTTTGGCGGCATCTGCATGATGACCACATCCGGAACCGGGGTCCCCCCAAGAGGTCTGGGCGTTATGCGGTCCGCAAAACTTCAACTCCCAAAACGGGAAATTTCGCAACCGCGTATGGAACCCCCAGCCCCACCTTCCTGATCTAGTGGCGCGAAATTTTTGCGCCACTGACCATTGCCAGACCGAAGGCTAAAAACAAACCAGGGTAAAAAAAAAAAAAAAAAAAAAAAAAAAAACAACAACAACAACAACAACAACAACGACAACAACCAGCTCAAACACAACCCCATCACCCCTCGTACTCAACTCACTCACAAACCAGACTCGAAGTAATTTCGAAGTACTGTCGTTGCTTGAGCAGCTCGAAGGTGTGTTCGGGATGGGAGAGTTGGGGGTAAACTAACCCCCATTCGTCAAACATTTGGGGGTGTCAGTGGTTCCCCTGTGCTGTGCAATGCCACAGCCATGCCATCGCCATTCACCGTGGAGAGGTGGATGGCGATGGCACCGTCGGGGGACTGTTCTTGCCAAGGGAGGAAGCTGCGACCCCGTTTCCATATGCGGTCATGCACTTCGAATTGGATGAAAATTGGGGGCGTTCGCCACGCCCTCACGTTTCTAAGAGGTTCGGACGGCATAAGAGGTTCGGCAGCATTTTTACGGGCTGACTCGGCTGACGGAGGTGAACGAACCCTAACTGACGGGATCAGGAAGGCGAGACGTACCTTCCTGATCCCGTCGTTATCCCATCTTTTTTGCTTGGAAATGTGCTGGCGAACACCGCCTACGTACATGCGAGGTATTCGTACGAAGTTTTCTGGAACCTTCACCCCGATAATGTCTCATTCGAGGTCCACAAGACTCGTACTCTGTAATCACAGGGACCGTAAAAATACTACTCTGAGAGTGTATACAAGAATTGAGGGTTCCCTAAAGTATTACTCTGAATGGATCAGTATTGAAAACTCATTAAATCTGAAATTTCAGTCTCCGCAAGGTGACAGGCCTGAAATCACCTTGAAATCGGGGTAAGTACCCTGATAAAAACAACCCTGAGCACTGGTCGCATAGTAACCAGGCCAAGGGAGGAACTGGGTCCCGGCTCGGCAGCTCTCTGAGTCAGCTAGGTTCCCCCAAGCCACGCCGCTTGATTGGGTGCTCTGGCATGGGGCGGTCCCCAGGGGCAGCTCCGAATCTGGCCTCCTGGTCAGGAGCCGAAGGTTCGGCCCTCGGGTTTTCAGTACAGTCGATGATCAGCCTATCACAAAAAAAAAAATGATAAACAGTCGGGTTTTGTCCGTGGGGTGACTAAATTGGGCATCGTGAAAATTTTCGGAGTACGGTCACCAAAATGGGGAAGTCAACATCTACATTTCATAAACAACAAGGAATCCATGTCATCATAGTGTTGACCTGGTTACGAAAGTAAAACCCCCACATTCCAATTTATTGCACTTTCATCTTACAATCGCAATTCTGCCTGGAGCGACGAGGGCGAAGGTACGCAAACATTTACTAAAGCCAAAACTCGTTTCACACACATGTCGCCCGTCTACTGAGTGCTCTTGTAAGGGCGTGTAACATTGCCAGCGCATTGCGAAATTGGCAAATTGCCGATATTTCGTCGACCAAGTGGCTGTTTTTTCTTTCGCGAAAGGCGACTGAGTGGTCGATACCATGGAAGACCACTAAACGGCCAGCATTATGCAAAATTGCAGATGTGACAAATGTAATGGCCGATTTGCAGGTGTCACATTTGCAGTCGCCCAACCGGACTGAAATGTGCGACGGTGTCGCACATTTGCACCCCACACTAGACTTAGTACCCAAATATCGCACGTTCTGTCGCTTTGAGTCGTGCGTTACTCGATACCCAAATGTCGCACCGACGTGTCAGATACCTGGCCGTTTCGAGTCGACTGGGCGTCGGTTTGTAGGCGGCCACGTCAAACGGCCATCAAATTCGAAAAATCTTAGCGAAATCGACGACGCTCGCTGTAATTTTTGCGAACATCGTTATAGGGTTACTTTCCTACAGACCCATGTGGGCCCGGCATGCGTTAGGGAGGCATCAACCCTAAACACCTTGCCTCTAGGTGTTTAGGGTTGATGCATCCCTAACGCATGCCTTACCTATAGGGGTTTTATTTTTGCGCGCGGGAAGCGCAGAACAGAACTTAACTAAATTTCTCTTGAAGTTTGTGATAAGGACGTGTCTCGGTTCGCCTCTGGTCGGCTGTGATCTGGTCGGGGCTGATCTGATCGGGGTGCCTTTGTTTGGATAGCTCGCGCCGCCCGATCAGAAAAGATTTCTCCTCGAACTCTCCACGAGGGTACACAGCAGGCATACATACATTTCCTGCCATCTTCGGGCCCATTTTGGCGACTGCGAACCCCTCGTGATGGATTTAGCAAATTTGAGTGTTTCCCTGTAATGTCGCGAAAACGGGGCAACCCAGAAACGCTGCAGTTCCAGAACCTTCCACCAACAATCTTGCCACAGCGGGGTATTCGCGAGGGTTTCACGAATCCCTGCCGACCGATGTAATTGTTTGACAGCGTCGCGTAGTACCCCAATCAAATGCAATGAAGTGATCGTCGTTGGTTGTCTGTGATTGTGTTTGATTGGGCTGCTTTCGCGGTTGATCGAGTTGGGGCGATCAGCTGATCGCGATCAAGTGTTTGCCCCTGATTGCATGAAATCGCCTCTGTACCTTCCTGGAAGTTATTGATCGTGTCTGATCGAGGCAACCCGAGGCGAACCGAGACACGTCCTAACAATGGCGGTGTTCGCCAGGAACTTTGAAAACGGACGGCATTTTGGCGGCATCGGCATGATGACCACATCCGGAACCGGGGTCGAAACCCCGCCAAGAGGTCTGGGCGTTATGCGGTCCGCGAAACTCCAACTCCCAAAACGGGAAATTTCGCAACCGCATATGGAACCCCCAGCCCCACCTTCCTGATCTAGTGGCGCGAAATTTTTGCGCCACTGACCATTGCCAGACCGAAGGCAAAAAACGAACCAGGGTAACAAGCGAAAAAAAAAAAAAAGGAAACCAACTCAATCCAGGTTTGTGACAGGGGAAAGGATCGCGATTGATTTTGAAGTACTGCCGTTGCTTGAGCAGCTCGAAGGTGTGTTCGGAATAGGAAAGTTGGGGGTAAACTAACCCCCATTCGTCAAACATTTGGGGCTGTCAGTGGTTCCCCTGTGCTGTGCAATGCCACAGCCATGCCATCGCTATTCACCGTGGAGAGGTGGATGGCGATGGCATCGTCGTGGGTTTGTTTTTGCCAGGGGAGGAAGCTGCGACCCCGTTTCCATATGCGGTGATGCACTTCGAAGTGGATGAAAATTGGAGGCGTTCGCCACGCCCTCACGTTTTTAAGAGGTTCGGACGGCATAAGAGGTTCGGCAGCATTTTTTCGGGCTGACCCGGCTGACGGAGGTGAACGAACCCTAACTGACGGGATCAGGAAGGCGAGACGTACCTTCCTGATCCCGTCGTTATCCCATCTTTTTTGCTTGGAAATGTGCTGGCGAACACCGCCAATAAAACAGATCGCGGTTCACGCGATCATAGGCTCGCCACGTAGCAAAAATAAATCAAACTGCGCTTTCGCGTGATTGAGCAAAATTCTCGAGGGCATCGGTGGCCACTTTCGCGCCCCTAGTCTCTCGAGTCAGACTTCCTCAGCCCGTCTAGGGTACAGTACAGTACCGCGCTGCAGTGATTGATATGCTGACTAAGATCCACAAAACACCATCTAGATTCTAGTCTTTCGAAGTTGTCAGTCAAGCAACGCGTGAAACAGGGGAACTGTGGACTTC